CCCCTGCCCGCCTGCAGTCCTGAGGGGTGGGAAGCATGGCCCAAAGCCCTGCCAAGACAGAGAGCCCCCAGCACACAGCCCCCCTTCATGGGCTGCGTCGGGGGCTGCCCACCGCCAGCAGAGCAGCCAGCACCCCAGCAGCATCCCCCTTCAAGGAGAGGGTTGCGGAGCACTGCAGCAGCTCCCTTGTTGGGCAGGTATCAGCTAACAAGTTCCGACATGTGCTGTAAGGCTTTGAGAGCCCCCGTCTCAGATCTGAGTTTCCGATGGATCCACCCCGACAGCTCCCGGTGCAGGAGGCTGTTGTGCAGGAAAGCACAGCAAGGAACACCAATGTTTCCAAAGTTTGGTGTATTCCCAGGGGATGATAGCTGAATTTGGGAATAATTCAGGTGTCCATCTACCCAATTACCAGCTGCCTTAATTACCAGCTCCCGTCCTTTTCTTCAAGACCAATCCATTCTTTGCAAATCCAGCCTCCCACAGCTTATCTGATCACAGCACAAGACGTTTATCTGGGAACTCCACTTCGGACTGGTGCCACCAAATGAATTAAACTTCTCAGGAAGTGAAAAAAAAAATCCACTAGCAATAAGCAACAGTGACCATCAAATGAATAGTGATTCTTAGGATTAACTTTAAAACCCATTTATTCAGGCTTTTGTGCAGGGTGCACAATTCAATGCAGTTACGTATACACAGTATGCACATCCTAACAGCGTACAAAAAGGCAAGCAGCAACAGGTGCTTACACTGGAAATGTATGTACAGACATATTAAATCCGGAGTTTTACATTAGAAAATTATCTGACGCTATTCACGTATCATCAAGGCTATCAGAAGCCGTGTAGAAAACCAATAAAACTTGGAAAGTATCTATTCTTATTTCACTTTACCCAGGCTGGATATGGAGTCCCAGACGACACCATTTATGGGCAAAGCCTACAAGATCCCCAAGCACTTTGAAGGGTCACATCACTGTTCACTCTAACACTCCCCATTACATGTTAAAGATTAACAGTATTATTTCCTGTTTTTTCTGGGAAGAACAACAGCGTAAACACTTCAAAAAGCTAATTTTCTCCTGGGAAAAGACAGCAAAGGAAAGATTTAAGGAGACCATGAGAGAACCAAACATTAATGAAATGTTGTAACAGCACTTCCTGGTCCTTCCAGAAAACTCTTCACAGACCAGGCAGCACCTAATTTAAAGCGCTGTGAACTGTCCAGATTTACAGAAGCGCAATGGCAGGCCTTGGCAGACCCCAGGTCTTCTGCTGATCTTTACCTTGTTCCTATCCTACGGGCTGCAAGAGATCGTACTTTTGTAACCTGCACAAAAAGACATAGAGAGATCAAGTAGATTTAGCAAGAGGATACTAAACAAAAACAATAAATAGAATTATGCAGCAACATCATAAGAGCCGTACTTCTCTCTCTGGAACTATTCTGAAAAGTACCAAATTCCTGACTTTAATTTCCCACTGAATTTTGCTCAAGATGTCACCAGAATGAGGGAGCACCAGGAAATAATGATTTAAGAAACACGTGGGTCTTGTGGCCAAGGCCCTCAAGGACACCTTGACCCCATCCTCATTGACTTTCAGCCTGAAGAACAGGTCCAACTCTCTTCCACTACCCTTCTATACCAGAGACAAATTCTTGCACACACCAGTAGAGTTTTGGTGGCAAATGTTATCATTACGAAGAACCTAACCTAAAATCCACCCAGGGAGTAGTTTTAAAGGACTAATTTGCTTTTGCAGATGACACAAACCACAGCTGAATGCAATGTAGGCAAGACTCAGTTAAAACTGCTCCCAATGGTGGCCAAAATCAGATGCTTTGTGCATAAACACACCAGATACAGGAAATATCTGTAGAACATTCAATCACAGCCAATACGATTTCAGACATCTCTTCACTTTAGCACAGCGCATATGCCATTTGCTGTGTAAGCTCTGGGGTTTAGTTTATTCAGTTCATTGCCTTGCATGAGCTTTTTGGAGAAAAGGTGAGGATAGCATAAAGAATCTCTCTCAAATCTATTTCTCTCAAGTTTAAAGTTCTCTGGTGGAAATCTTTACAATGAGTCAAAATTTATTTGAGTGAAGATACATTTCAAAAATGTATACTTTTTCCATGTTGATTTTTATGAAAATTCATTGTTGAATTGGCTTGAAAAATGTTTTCCTTTCAGAAAAGGGCTGCCTTAAATGTACCATATTATGAATAGGCAAAAAATAATCAGTATTTTAAATTCAGCCTTCCTATAGTGCAAACCTCTCATTTTGATTGTTTTAGAGAAACCCTCCAGCTGTAAGTATTAATAAATCAGAATTTTATTCAAAAGGACTCAAGAAAAATACATAAATACCAGATTCTCTTTATCATTCAATAAGCATAGGGAATGAGTTGCTCTTCAAAAGTAAGAAGCCGTCAATAGCACTTCTTTTACGTTTGCAAGTGCAGCTACAGCATGTAACACGTAGGAACATCACGTCAAATTTTATAGCACAGAATGTTTCCCATACAAATAATTTTCTGGTGCACAAAGTCAGTGGGAATTGAGCATAAGCAAATAAAATGTGTGGTTAAGATTCAGAAGTACTAAAACCACTCTGGTGTTTCAAAAGTCTGATGGCAAATCCTGGGCAGGGGTGGGGAGGAGAAAGAGGCTTCTCGCAGTGAGTGAAACTGTGGGCTCGGATGGTGCAACTGAAACCAGCGAAATGTTTCCTGGTACTAAGAGATCCCCAGAAACAACTGGCTTTTGCAGGAGAATAAAAACAAACATGGAGATAAATAGACTGATTTTGATAAAAAGGACAAAAATGAACCATACTCACTCTACATGCTGTAATGTTTTTAAAATAATTTTTTAAACACAGCTTTAAAAAGCTCAAATTCTAAAACAATTCAAGATCAAAGTTTATATAAAAATAAGTAGCAGCTTGTGTGTTTCTCTATAATAGAGCCATTACAAGGCTTGATGCCACATACTGTATGTGAAAAAATGTGAAATACTAGAAATCTCCAGTTTGACCATGCTATACATACCTTTTTTATATATGTGTGTGTATATAGAAGTAATCAAGCTCAGTTAAACACAAAGCAAATTATACTACCTTTCCCTCAGAACACAGTTTCAGCCATTAAGCTCCAGATTGCAAAGCGAGTTGCAGTGTCATAGGCAAAACACAATTTTACAAAATCACTGGGGAGGAAAAAGGCATTTTCATTCTGAAATTGATAGAATAAGCCACAACAGAAGTAATCAAAGGAGCTATGACTGAAGAAAGATATATATGGTATTCCCTTCTTCAGTGCTCTCTGAAGAATCCCACAAATGTCAATAAATAAATAAAAAGCCTGGTGAATTTTACCAAAGTACTTTGCTACCATAAATTTAGTTTGAGAAAAAGTCTGTCTTGCTGTACATAGCTGCCTGCCTCTTGTTTTCACCCTGTAGACAAAGCAGTCAGCTAATGCAATGTATTTCTTTCAGTAAGTCTCAGGGCTTAAACTTTTTTCCCCCACAATGTTTTTAAACTAATAATTGTGCAACATGTTCATTCCCCACCTTAATTTGCATTCTCATACTGAAACGAAGTTATTTCTTGCATTAAAGCTCTCAGTGATCTAAACTGAAATCTATTCTTCAGACAAAATAAATGGCATGACACACTACCAAGGACAAAAAGAAAACCCAAGAGCACTAAAGCAAGGTGAGAAGTAAGAACCAGTCCAAAGACTTGGAGAAACATGTATGAAGAGGGCCACATGAAGCATATAGAAGCTACTGCTAGAAATAAGGTTCTCCAGAATTTATTTTCATGGCTTCTTCATATGAAAAGGAACAGACCAGACAGGTATGAGATCTTTTCCCTCCACACCTGCCACTGCTGCTTAGAGTCAGCACAGATGGATGAAGAACTCCTCAAAGGTACCTACGCTTCTGCTGCAGAGGACTGCAGCTTTTACCAGGGTGACCTGCAGACGAGGTTCGAAACCAGGCAGGAATATAACTGTAACTCTTTTAAATAAGGATCCACATGAAAAAGTAAACTATTTCATGTTTTTTCTTTTTAGTATTTTTACATCCAGGACAAGTGTTGTGCAGAAAAGCAAAGTGCCAGCATGGTGCAGTTGTGCCCGACTGCTCACAACCACCCTGCTCCAGGGCTTCCTCTTGCACAGTCCAGCCAGGCAGACAACCTACACAACGACAGCACCGAATTTCCATTCCATGTGCTCCCTTGTGTGCATGACTAGGGCTAGGCTCAAAGTTGAAACTCTTGGGTACAAACACTGTGATTCAGATCTTCCCCGGTTTTCTGCAAGCGTTAACATACTTGTTTTCTGACATTTTCTCATCTCTAGAATGGTACTAGCAATTATTAACTAGTCAATACTTCTTCTATAAGGTGGCATATACCATGCATGCCCGATATGAGAACGTGTAGCCAAAAATAATGCAGGGATTTTTCCAAGAGTAGCAGTAGCAATTCTAAATTTAAATATGATGTTAGCCAGCTTGAGGACAACACTAAGATCCCAAACGCAGAAGGAAGAGCTGCGTTTTCAAACAGTACAGAAAAGTACAACAACTGGCACTGCACAGCAAAAGAGATGCCTGAAACACTGTTCATAAGAGAAAAGATACAAGAATTCAAAATGTGAATTAAACTGAAAACTATTGGGAAGAAAGAGATGCCTGAAACACTGTTCATAAGAGAAAAGATACAAGAATTCAAAATGTGAATTAAACTGAAAACTATTGGGAAGAAACATACAGCAGAAGTGCAGATCAGTGATATGAAGACTTATAATCTTTAGAAATTTTTTCTGATGTGTGAACAAGCTTGTTGTCCTGTCCCAAATCCCTGAGCACTGAATCTGCCGATTTACTCAAAGGTAAATGAATTTGTTCCCAGTAATAAAGGTGGTGGCAGGATAGACTGGTCTGTGTACCCTGGATGTTACCTACACATTCTCAACTTACTTTTTTGAAGATTGAAGTGCACTTGGCAGAAAAGTTTTCAGCTTTAGCCCCAATGCAAATGACTCTCTCTCTGCCAAAACGACGGCGATTACCATATTCATAGAGATTATTAATTAATCAGAAGTGCTACTTAAATAAAAGTAAAGCTAGACTACTTCAACTCATCAGTATAATGTATTTTAGGAAAACATTTGACACAGTAGTCAACCATTTACTGGGAGCTCAGTTTAGCAGAATTTTATTGAAGTTATAGATTAAGAAGTTAAATACTGTATCAAATTTAATGAAGAAATCAAGGGTGATTAAGAAGCGTGAAAGCTGAGGCCACAGGGAGCTGTAGACTTGATATGAGATCCCGCAGAGTTCAGCATATGGGCTTGCAGAGCCTGTCACGCGATTACTGTTCCACATGGGCACACACGGGTTTCGTGTTGCTGGAGCAAGCAGCAGGGCAGCTGGAACTGTGCATGTGCACAACTCGTCAAGGCAGAAATGCTCTGAGACAAAGTTTTCACACTGCAGAAGATGCCTTCTGAAATTTAGCAAGCTATAACACAGAGGCCACTCTAGGGACACATGGCCTTCAGAACTCCAAGAAGTTTTAGTGCTGGACTGCAGGTTTTCTAAAAGCCTTTAGCTAAGTGTTCAGACAAAGGCAACTCCTCTTGTGTAAATAAGGTAGTTTAAAAGCAAGCAAAAAATCCCCCAGCAGACAAGCAAAAAAAGGCAATGCAATGGTCCTACCTCTGGGCCCAATGTCTTTTCACCTGATCCACTTATCCAGAGCACAGGGAACATCAACTCCTACGCCCACATGCATTAGGAATATCTGCACCAGCCAGGCCACCTCCTTTGATGTGCATTTCCATCTCCCCTGGTTTCTTCCGCTGCCTAAAGTTTACTGCTGTGAACAGAAACACTCCAACACATTTAAAAAAGCCAATATAAACACTTAATGGAATCCCAGCAATTCAAAATGCTCCATTTCCCTTTGCTAACTTTGTCTTTCTCTACACTATGAGCCATGGGGGTATAATCTATCTCTTCCTGAATATCCTGAACGTTGGAGGTGCTGCTGCAAATATTGTGGTATCTTCTTGGGAAGAAACTTGATGGTTTGGGATTGGAGTTTTGGGGTCAGGTTTTTTGGGCTTTGGCAAGTCCGCTTCATTCACATTAATTGAAACACACACATCTGATATGTCAGCAATCTCTTCACAGGGAAGGGAGAAAAAGCAAAACAAGTCCAAGTTTCTCTAACTGCACTCTGAAGGAGGAATTTATCAAGTCAGAATCTGGAAACCGTGAAGTGAACGCAAGTGATAGACTCTGTGAATCAAAACAAAAGCAGATAACTGGCCAATGCCTACAGATCTGGGCTCAGCTCTGTGAAATGAGAAGGACAACTCCCTCCAACAAACTGGCTGCTGAATTTGCTAAACAAATTCTTGGTCACAGTGAATTTATTAATGCTGCAATAGTACAGTGAAAGGAGTCCTCAGCACAAGCAGATAAATGGGCCAGTTCAGGGTTCCAGCTCACCACGAGGTTGTTGGGGTTTTTTCCCTTACAGTCCTCTAGCATTGCTCTTCACTGTTACGCCATCCCGTCCAGCCCTGAGCTGCTCCTTGCTGCTGACTGGGTCCCCAAACTGGGGAAAAGGACCAGTCATTTAAAACCCACATGCTTGCAGCCCATTTGGTTGGGGAGGAAAAGTGCTGGGTGGCCTGCTCGGGAGCCAAGCAGAGGGACACGCCACCTGGCTGGTGGCCAGCCAGAACCACCTCCTTAGCCACCCAGCCAGCTTACCAGCCAGCATGGCATTGCGGCTGGGAGGCAGGTACTCTCCATCTCTAGGCACAAACAACAGAATATGCTCTGAGGGGGTCAAAGTAATTACCACAGTCTGTGTGCTGATCCATTGACACTTACTAAATTTTCCAGGAAAATCTTACCACTCAGCCAAGATACTTTATGCGCATAAGACGACTTCTATTTATAAGTGAACTTTCCTCTTCTGCAAGGAAACTTTCAATTTTCTTATGTTGATATTTTTTTCCAGAAAGTATTTTTATGAACACTAGCATCAACCACCTCATCCTACTGGGTTACATCATCTTTGTTAAAATCCCCAATTCATGTCTCGGGGAGAACAAGACTTTTAGGTTACCCACATGTGAACAGACATGGAAAATACTTGCATAAAAATTCCTTTGCAAAAGCAAAAAGTTTTAACTGATCATTTAAATCTCTATTCTTTCTTTAAAATATTTTAAAAAATATATACTTGAGGTACTTTCTCCTTAGAGGTTTAGAATATTTGATTTAGAACAAACCTCCTTTTTCCTCAGAGGCGCTTAAGCAGGTTACTTGAACAACCCTACAGGATGTATTTTAAGACCGAGACAAAAGCATAATAATGCTTTCCAAACTAGGTTTAAAAAGGCATACATGAATTTTGGTCTGTTTTGGACAAAAAGAACAGAGTATACAAGAAACATGTACTCAGAGAGTACAACCAAGAAAAAAAAAAAAGTAGGTTTTGATATGCAGAGGGCATTCTGGGTGGCTGTGTTAGCCTGGCCTGTACACAGTGGCACTATTTTGTATCCTTTTCTCTCCACCTCAAGAGCATGTTTAACAAAAAACAAACAAACAAACCCCAACCAGTCAAAGCACTTGCCTCCCCTTTCAAGCACAACATTCTGAAGTTACATACTCATGCAGAAGCTCTCTAACAAATGAGAAAACTCAAATTTAATGCTTCAGCAGTAGGGGCTCCAAGAAGAGAGAAGTACAGAACTAGGAATACACATGGTAAAAAACTATCAAGTACACGTTTTAATTAATCATAGCAATTCTGTCATACAGAGTAACAAAAGGGGTCATGTAATTGTATCGAGTGCAAGGCCAAACAAATACAAGATAGAATGGAATGTCAGCTGACAGAAGGTCTGATTTCTGTGAGAGCTGCTTAGCAGATTTATTTGTATACCTATTTATATGGGACTGTTCCTGCTGTCTTCAAGCATAGACAGGTGAAAAAGCCCATAAACTTCCCATTATCCAAAACATATGGCCAGGCATATATTTGACAGCACTGTCCACTGCAACGTGTAGTATCAAAGAACCACATCAAGGTTTCTCAATGCTTAAGACATTGATCTATTAAGCTAAATTTCACTTAACCTAGGGCTAAGCAATATGCAGGCAGTGATTGAAAGTTCTTACATTACCCATAGAGCTCTTATGTGGCCAAATTACCCTTTGTTCTCAAGAAAGCCAACTCGCTCTGATGATTCACATCCTGTTTTGAATTGACAGTCACCAGTGCTTCCTCCCAACTGTATGTGGTAATTTCTTAAGCAGAGTACCATTCTCTAGGGATACAATTTAATTTTTTTTTAATTTCATTTTGACCAGAGTGTGAAACTAAAGATGATCAAAATTTGCATACTGCTCTGGAAAAAGGCTATTACACTGCATTTAGCAAAGCTGTCAGAAAAAAAGTGTTAAATAAAAACAATGGACCTCAGAGAAATTAACTGTATCTCTTTATTGTTAACCAATGAATGTTATCCAAAATAGTAGATGTAATTGTAGCTTAATTGTACAACACAAAACATATGCTAAAGGAAAAAGCACGTGGAAAATTACTTCGACAAGTAATCATTAAATGTATTCTTAGTATTTCCGCACCAGTAAGTGTTCCCAACTGCTGGTGACAGCAGCTATTACCACTTTGTTCATTGTGAAAATCCATACTACAAATGGTTGTTCTGGTTGTTTAGGAAAAAAAAAAAAATCACACAGTTTTATAAATGGATCTAATCCATTTAGCCCTACTCTATGTGTTGTAGATTTATGAACAGCAAACTTTACCGGTATTTTTTCTCAACTGATGTCACAGTGTTAGTGCACACTTTCCAGGGAAAAATGAAAACTCACTGAAAGCACAGTATTTCACCTGCTATGGCAAACTGTTCGAATTCTTCACAAATTTGCTTAAGCTTCAGTGTTTGAAGCCTGTGAACCAAAAACTGTTCTTACAATGCACTGCAAGTAGAAACACCAACTTCCACCAAGCAGCATTTTGAAGCATGTGCACACCATCTGCACATCAGTCTTCAAGGTCAACCAGATATGTTTAGCCCCACAAACCAAAAATATATTAATGTATCTTTATTTTATTTTCATGATGTCACCCCACATAGCCAACCTTTAACTCCACAAAATAGAAAAAACCAACCTTAGTTGGACTGTTCATAAGAAATTTAAACCTATTGTGCATGAAAAAAATGTTTAATAAAATGGCAAATTTTAATAGATAAGGTGTAAATTTATGAGTGCATAATATCAAACAGAAAAGAGCTGAACCATCCTCAGAGAAAGCAGGGTTCTTCCACTGTAGATATTTACTAGGGTACTATAACAGAAAGAATAACTGCAGTCCACATTAACTGTAAAGTTATTTCTAAAATTCAATTTCTAAGCAAATTTCTCAAAAAAGCAGGTCTCCTTTTCAAGAGGGAAAGGACTTAATAACAATGATCTGACATCAGATATGACAATTACAATACTAGCTTCACTGAAAACTGAAGCTACAAACACTTTTACTCCAATTCTAGGAACTTTCACTTTGTATTTGGAAACCCAAAAGACAAACTAACTCACACGCACGTTCTACACCCCTCCCAGGAGATAGTACATCAGTGACAGGTTACAGCTTTAAAACACACAAGATGCTTTTACAATTTAAACTCAACAAAAGGAAGTTAGACTGTATTTAGCACTATGAATCCATCTTAAAGTAAAACAAAATCCTAGGAGTAAGGGCTCCTAGCGTCCTATAATATCACTGTGTAGTGACAGTCAATTTGAACAGTTTCTTTCATGGTGTTTGAAGGACCAGTCATCATGTATATAGTAGTGAGGTAGGATACTGTCCCCTCCCTGGGACTGATGTTTTCATATGCTCCCTTGCCAGAAAGGTCCAGGACTCCCTACTGCAAATAAAATAATTACAAGGAAATAGCACATGAAGCTTTGTAATTTTGTTTTCTTTGCTGCATTAGAATATTTTGAGCATCTAAAAGAATCACCTAGGAAAAGCAATACTTATTCAAGCCTATCAGCAGCCACGTGCTGCCCACAGGTAGCGTTCCATTTAAAAATATTTCCTGGAATACCACCTGCCATCCAGACCTTTGTGAACAGGTAGGCAAAGAAAACCATCAATGATGACAGGACATGAAACACCAAAGAATTTCACTTGGGAGAAAAAAAAAATCAAAACTGAAAGTCAGCAATATCAAACTCCTCATGGTATAGCTACATTGAAAAATATAATTTCAAACTTCATACTGAAATAGTACCTATCCAGTTTAGCTTCAGTTCTATTCTTCTTTGTATTTCTTAATGTTTAAGCAATCCTTATACTTGTCAGTCATTATATACTTCACATCAGTCTCCAAAGGAAAAAAAAAAGTGAAACAATGAAACTGAAAATGTGATGGGGAAAAAACTGCTACCTTTCTCCACACCCTCCCCCCAAAAAACCTAGGGATGACAGACTGCCTTACTGTTGAATAGCTTCCCCTAAATTTGTCTTCTAGCCCCTGTAGTCAAACTGGTATTAAGTGCTTTGGCAAAGTGGGGTGCAATCCATCAAATCTGCAAAGGCCTGCTTTTTTCTCTGTTGGTGGTTCAGCTTTACGAGGAACATATATGCAAAATAACAGCTCTCACATTGCTTCAAACTCATCAATACGCTGCTTCGTATTGCCTTGTCGGATTTGCCGAAGAGTCTTGTACTTATCACGGCCTGCTTTAACATTCTCAGCATGAAGGACATCATTTTGTGTTTTCTTGGTTTCATCTCTGGCTTGAGCCAACTCAGAACTTAAAGCCTGTTGAATAAAATATTTGCATTTAAGTGCTTTGACTAATCTTAATCATTCCGGAATTTCTGATAACAGCTATTCCACAACTTGGATAACAATTTCTTGAATGCCAACCTATTAAATGCTTGTTGTGCTGTTCAGTAACTCAAGCTGTGAGGTCTATCAGAAAGTGGAGAGCATAGGATTCTTTCCAAACTGGAAAAAAAATGCTTCATACCATAACATCCAAGAAAGGTACCAGCAAGATAAAGCAGGAGAATGACCGTATTTTTCAATTTCTGCTTAACTAAAGACAGCTCTTGTTTATCTCCCTGATCCTGTTCAGTGATTGGCCAAGAAGAAAGGATATTACACATACACGCTACTAAGATATTGCTGCCAGAAAAAGCAGCAGCTTTCCATTTCTTTTATTTCCTTCCCAAAGAGACATTTCATAACAAGGCACGGGTTTAGCACTAACATACATTTTTATACTTTGAGGGGTAAGACTAGTCTAGGAGGAAATGCTCTATTTCAGGGAAATAAGATTAATCCAAAATGAGCATAATTCAGTTTTTGCATTTACAACGTCTGTGAAGGACTGCAAATAAACACGAATGCTATTAAGCAAGCATCTCTTCACACCACTCAATGAATTTCAGTATTGAGAAAGGAAGACATTAGGTTTTAACGCTCAGTGTCCTGGACATTACATAATTATTAGAAATGTTTACTGGCCAATGTGACAACATACCAATACTTCTAAGCTATAAAGCACAATCTTACATCCAATTTTTCTATCTATTCTACTTCTAGAACACTATGAATTATATTGGCTGGCAAACTAGCAATAAACTTAGTAAATTATAAAAAGGCTATTTCCTTGGCACACTGCAAATTCAACTAGATTTTTGACAAATAAAGAATGAAAACACAAAGCCTGAATTACGTTGGTACAACTTGGAATCTTCATTACCTGGAGCTGTTTCTTAACACGTTCATTTTTCTGTGTTTCTGTTACCCGTTCTTCCTCACTCCTGTGATTCATGACACCATCAGACGACAGTTCTGCACTGGCTTCAGCATTGTTCTCATCATGTTCATCGTGTTCATTCTCTGTTGGAGGAATAACTGGTGGGGGAGGAGGAGGTGGAGGAGCAGACATCACAGATTTCAGTTCTTCTTTGGTCTTTTCCAAGTCCTCTTGGGCTGCAAAAGCCTAAATATAGTGAACAGTACTTAGCAACTTTTAAAATTATTTACAAATAGTCAGAAAAATAAAAATAAATATTTAAGATTTTTCAGACACATGGAAACTGTCCTTTATAAATGATACACTTAGCTCACCCACTGAAAATTGTCGAATAGAAACATAGGGTAGAAAGATACTAGTCAAAACCAACTGTACCGGAGTCCACATATTTCCAGCAGGAGCCAAGAGAAGAGTGAGAGAATACGACACTGGTACTGATTGCTCAGGGACTTCCTAAATCAAAGGTGATGTCTTCAAATACAATTTCAGAGAGAACTTACAAGAATTTGTTCAATCACTTTTTGAACCTGTGCACACAACTAGCATCCCATAGCTAATTACATATTTTGTGAAGAAATACTATTTTGCTTTAAACTATTGTCCAGTTGCATTTTACATGCCTTTGTTATTGTTCTGGTTTATCTTTTCCCTACCACTCATGATTTTATAAATCTCCCTCCTGAGGCGTTTTCTCTTCCAACACTAAGCTCCAATCCATTTCATCACCATATGTAAAGAAGCCATTTCAAATTTTTGACCATACCTTTATCATGAGTACTTTCCCCCCCTTCATGGCTACTTAATATTAAGAAATTAGCTAAGTAGAAGTATAGGCTGGCTTCAGTAGACTAGAGAACAAAAACCTTCAATAAAGGCTTCTCTGAAGCCTTTGGAAAGAGAGATTCAATCCCATGGACTTCCAGTGGGATTTCCGCACTCATCTCCCTTAGTTTCTTTGAAGTTCTGACTTCACACAGCACGAGCTCATTACTTTGTGCTGCCATTCTGAGGCTTCCTCTTCTTTCTTTTTCTTGGCCTCCTCTAGAAGTGCAATCTTGGCAGTGAATTCAGCAAGTTCTGCCGCCTGAAACAAACAAAAACATGAAGTAGAAGTTTTAATTTGGTATAATTTTGGCTCTGCAGTGGAAGAAAGCAGAGCCTTTGCTGTGATCTGATGTGAAAAGAGCTAGTTACTATCCATAACTTCACTGCTAAAAATAGAAATTTTAAGCATATATGACAGGGGGAATGAATCTGTACTCTTCCTGATGGAAATAAGTCCAGAAAAAAAATATTTATCTTCTGCACTTCCAAAGTTTGCTGGGAAAGAGAGAGCTGTAGTTACAAATTAGCACTTGGGGCTGTTCCAGTTTAATACAACCTTGATGCTTCCACCAATAAGACAATAATTCTGGATCATAATCTCAGTATTATTAAGCTAAATCTTGCCTTCAGAATTGTGTGATAAATTTACAGAAGATCAAAAACTGTTTTATAGTTGAGAAATAATTTCTTCTGCTATTTTTGTGCCTTTCTCAGTTACTATGTGCAAATCTTGAATTAGAAGCAGTTTAGTACAGAATGGGTGAAGATTCTGTAAATGCTGTAAATAGAGTGGGGGAAAAAACAACAAAAAAACAAACAAGCAAAAAACCCCACAATGTCACCAACTCCTCACTACTACCATCAAGCTTCACAACAGACCTGCTTCCCAGTGGACTGCAGAAGGAAAGCTGCTCTTGTTCTCGGCTGGATAAGCCTGACACTATCAGAAACAGAATGTAGTGGGTGTTGTCAGACTGAAATGTTTACTTCATCATTTAATTTCCTACAGCCATACAGTTTTGGGTTTGTTTTTTTATTTTTCCTTTCTTAAAAGTAGTGGCAAATCTAATATAGTTTTCTAAAGAAGTTCCCACAACAATCTGTAACAGTATTTCACATACTTTTATCTGTTTCAATGTACTTGTTCTTGGTTATACCCATTTTGTCAAATGGACAAAGGCTACATTTTCAACTACCTTTTTCCATTTGTTTCAAAATACGGTTAAAGCTTCTTACTAGCTGCTCCTGGTTCTTCATTTGATCAGCTGCCTGCTTAGCTAGAGCAGCTTTAGCTTTGCTCTTTTTCCAGGCGCTCTGCTTCTTCTTTTGCACGCTTTCGTTCTTGATCCAGTTCTAGAGCTCTTCTAGTCTGTTCCTCTAGCTCTGTCGAAAGGAACGTTTGCAGACAAAGTATTATTACCTAGCTCTTCCTCATATGTAACAGAGAAAACAGTTAAAATAAAGTAACCTAGAAATCTGACAAAGATTTACAAGGCTGCCTCCAGCCAAGAGGAGCTGTTGAGCATGGTACCTGAAGCTACACTCCATGTCTGATTCCCCATGCGCCCCCTGCCCCTTTAAGACATACTTTGGACATACTTCATCTGACAGTTATGATAGTCCAGTGTTTCCAAAAATTATCACCTCACAGATAAAACTAAACACCCAAATATATGTGCATGTACATACACTCTCACTCTTACTTCTGAGATGATACATACATTCAATCATACTCTCTTAAAAAAGCAAAAAACCCCTCTTCTACTCTATTGAAATGCCTGACAAAGATTCCTTAATTACAACAGACAATTTAGGCACGTGCCTCAGCAAAATTACCTACGACTCATTGGAACGGTCAGAAAAATTCTCCATAGACAGAAACAAAAAGGTGCAAACAGGAAAATTTTTAATCAAGGGAAGACTAATAGTTGTCTAGATGACTGGTTAGCAAAATATTGCAATCTAAAGGGCTGAACTCTGAGTGAAACAGGGACAAGTAATAATCTACCAGTACTGCAAGGTAAGATTTGCACAGGCGAAATACGCTCCTCTGATATGCAAAATGTAGTGACTATGAAAAAAGTCCTTCTGAAGCTCCTTGCCAATGATAAACATTCCACTATGGTTTTGTCTAGGCATAGCTGCCATAGATTCCTTCACCAGGAACAACTGCTCACTTATTGGAAAAATTCATTTGCCCTTCATATGCTTTAATACTAAAAAGCATCTCCCCAGGTATGCTGACACATGCTTAATCCTTTGCACTTGTAGTTTTAAGTAGGTCTCATGTAATCAATGTCTTCAGCTGCCTTCCCAGGCTGCTACTTCAGTTATAAAATTTCATAACAGAATTACAAGTATGTGGAGTTGTGCAAATGCAGTACTTAGAAAAATAAAATGCACAAATATTTAAAAACACTGCTCAAACAAAATATTTCTGTGAAGATGGAGAACACTTATCTACCAAGTCAACTACAGAGTACAGACACCATTTATATAAACACTTTTCCATATGTGAACAGAAGGCTGAAAAGACAAGCAACACATGAACATTATGTATCGCACCAGAAGTTAGGCTATATTGATTACAAAAAGGTACAAGAAAATGCACATCATTAAACCTTTAGAATCACCCTGACACTGTTTTGTCCTGGGCTAAAGAGCTCTCCTTTAAACAATTCCAAGGCACAGTTCATGTGCTACCTGTCTGGATGTGTCCAACCTGTTCTGCACTGAAAAACAAGGGGTAGAGCTAGAGAACAGTGCCAGGCACATGTAATTTATTTGCACAGATTTAGTCAGTGATTCTCTATCGTGCCTGAAGCCAACGGTTATGAACAGAAGAGAGGAAAAGAGCTTTTATGAATGTAAACAAAACTTGAAGCAAGAAAAAGAACATGGAGAGGAGGGACTGGGAAGTAGTGGAGACAGGGACCCTGTGGGGTGGTGCAACACAAAGTATTGTGATTGATCAAACTACATTTATTCACTAAAATCTGACAAGATTTTAATTTTTAAATTCTCAGATCTTAAAATGGAGTAGGAAAACAAAAGGACAAGGAATTTCCAGATAAAAAGCTACAACTCCCAAGTTTTCAGCACTTTAAGCATTTCGTAATTTTGAGTTGAACTGTGTACACATTAATTTCCTTTATATTGAAATGGAAACTTTTGTCAAATTAGGAATTGGTTTTATATTACAAATATAAACACATATGCACACACACCCTCTTTTAACACTTAACATTGAAAAAGGATGTTTCTTCTTAAATTAAATAATACACCACAAAATTCTTGTTATTATCAGTAAAATAAATTTAAAAAAAGAAACCAACAAAAACACACACATACCAAGAGAATTGTGGAACTGAACTACCCAACTGGACTAAACATTGTTATCAGATACAAGAAATCCAGGACCCGTAAAAGCTCACCTTTCTGAGCTTTCATTGTTTGTTCCTCAATTTGTCTTAAGCGTTCTACTAATTCTTCCTTTTCACGCTCTATTCTTTCCTTTTCCTTTTCTGCTATCTCCCTTTTCTTCTTCTCATTTTCTAATTGTGCCCTGAAAAAAAATAGTAGAAGGCTTTTTTAACCTCAGATTAAATTCTCCTCTAAGGATGCTGATAGACTATTTTTCAGTTTACCCAGCCAGTAGAGAAGCACATAATTTTAAATGTTTCAAATTCAGTTTTACAATGCAAGAACAACCAATTTGCTGTTTCAAAATACTGTACAGAAAAAACAATTTATGAACAGAACTGATTAGCAACCTTGGTTATGGTTCAACCAGGTAAATACACAGTTATACCTGCATTTTAGACATGGCTGATGTTTCATCTGGGCTAGAAATGTCTACGGTATTTTTTAAATATACAAAAGGTAATTCATGGCACTCTTCACTGAATTTGCTTTAAAGGTTCACCTGTAGAGTACAGAAGTCCCTCAGAACCAAGCCACAGAGTTAAGACTTTCACAAAAACATAATGAGAAACAACGGTACAGCTACTATTACTACGCTGAAAGCTCAGAAAAGATACGGCTTTCTATTAAGACAGGTGAGCCATGCCAATCCACAAACCTGGTTATGTACTGCAGAAAGAAAAGCAGCTTTCTCTTTTCTAGAATGCTAAGTTGTCTGATATTCTATATAGGACTTAGTTTTCTTAAAAGGGTAGAGGAATTTTTTCTGTTTCATGGAAGTTTGTTAATTACCTTTCCAATTGTTTCTGATGTTTCTCCTCTCTAGCTTGGGCCTTCATCTGTTGCACTTCAATTGTATCAGGTTTCCTCCTCCTCATGTACAATTCATGATTTCCCATACATAGTGCCAAAATTCGCTTATTAATTCTCAGTCGGGGCGCATAAAAAACAAAATCCTACCAAAAATAATTGCAGCATATTAATTAATCTAAAAATACAGTTGTGACAAGATTCAAAGCATTGCTGCATGCTTGCATGTGTTAAAGTTAAACTTACAAATATTTTGGCATTCATCCTCTGAGCAATCCAAAACCTTAATCTATAAATCTAGTTACCTTAAGGAATTGTAAGATAAATTCAAAATTACACCTGGATTCCTCCATGTAGAAGTTTGCTTGTTTACACTAAATAATTTATTCAAACTTCTAAAAAAGTGAGACTATCCTCTACTCTACTTCTGAAGAGTTTTGACCTAGAAAGTCTCATGAAATGTACTGCTGTAATTAAAAAAAAAAAAAAGAACAACAGAGGGGGGGGGGGGGGGGGTCAGAGAATTTAGCATCTTACACTATGGATTTTCAACACATCACAAAATATCTGTTGACTTAAATTAAAGAAAAATGAAAAAAAGAAATCTTAAGAGTATCAACCAGAATGAAAAGAGAGAAAATAAACACACCATACTTCAAAATCAAAATTTCCTTTTGATTACTATTTTACTAATAAGAATAATAAATGTCACAAAAATATTTACTTATGCCAGAGGAAGTCCCAGCAGGCTTAAATCTCTTCATATACAAAGGCATACTATTCTACACACTACTTACAGGGGCCTTTTTGTCAATTGGCTTTATGACAAATTTTTTGTCATTAAAAGAGATGTTCCTTATTTCACTCCAAGGAAAACCAATCTTGGGTGTCAGCCTTTGGAGAGGAAAAGGTCTCATTAGAAGCAGCAAAGATGTGCGTTTCATTTACATCCACCAAATCTCAACTCCTTACCATTTTTACCATCACAGTTACATTTACAAAACATAACAACAGTTCAAGCATATTTTGGTGGACAATTTTTTACACATTATTCCATCAAATGAATAAATTACATAATGAATAAATTACACGGCACTGTAAAGAAGGAATTTAGAAATTTCAATTTGTGACTTATTATACTACCACTAAATAGATACTAAACATCATAATCATGTACTGATTCTTTATAAGCTATGGATAAATGTATTTTCTGTGAAAAGACTATTTAAGTTTGACAAAAGTTTGACATTTCAAAGACAGAAATTAAATTATCCTTCAGCAATGCTGTACTTCTGTTTAACTCCAAAGACGCACTCTCGCATTTTCAAAGTTCAAGTTAAATTTATTTACCTTGCATCTTAAGGAAAACAAATTCAGTTCAGAAATCATTAGTGTCATGCACCAACTGCATAACTGTAAATATTTTTCTCAGTGAGCACAGAAAGTTTTTTCAATTTATATTATCTTAATTACAAGCATTAGAAAAGTATTTGATTGCTAAATATCGGGAGTTAAAGAATAGCAAAAATTGATTGATCGTTCAATCTGATCTGAACATTTTCTATTATTTCCTTCTTTCAGGAGTTATATTGCCATCTAATGGCAATAAAGGCTTACAGAATTTTGTTATGGAGTATATATATTGAAGAGAATTAAGTTTCAGTTCAGTTGACAGCTGTTACCTGGCATTTGACACATCATGCTTAACTTCACTGTGAAAGGACTGTTGACATCAGATACTATTAACAAGTGTTTCGAAAGAAACAAAAGAATAAGTCTGTTCTTCAGATTCTTCAAATTCTGTACATTTCAGCTTTATCCCTCTTCATGAAGGCCAGAATCTTTGATCTCTTTAGCAGGACCCAAGATTAATCTGTTTTCTTTGACATTTAAAAGGTTTCATTTTTAGACACCAAAGTTTTTTCACACCCTAACAGCTAAAACCCTAGTCACTGCTCTTACAAAACATTTATCATTAAATATGTCGCTCAGCTTCTCAGTGTCCCTTTCATCCTGACAGAAGAGGAAGCATTGAGGGAAAAGTACACAAAGAACCCATATAAAGATGGTCTAGCTATCATAAATCCATATTAAGCAATGTAAATTAACTTTCCACAGAACTGCTCTTCCTTTCCCTTCTTTTGCATCCCTATTTAATCTTTAAAATTCAAATATTCCAGCAGTTAATGTCTCTCTCTCTTTTCCTATCTTTTACATAGATTAGAAGGTATTTGAGAATCTGTTTTGGTAGATGTTATTGAACACACAATAAGGTGGCTTTTGTATAATCTCAGATATGATCTTCTAGGACAGAACTGCAAAATGAGTATTAGCCACTTACTTATCATCATGCTCATAAATATTCAGACCCAAAGCATCAACTCCTAGCCACAATTCAGTTCCTTTTTTATTCTTTATTTCAAAATAGTTGACTCCATACATTTCCAAGTCTTGTGCTATCTTCAGGTATTCCATCATAGAATCTTCCCTGATGAAAGAAGAAAAAAAAAAAAAAGGCATAGCGTAGACAAAACAAAAGTACATTGTAGGAGTAAGGGAACTACAGAATAACTAATTAGTGTAAAATTTAGTTTGGAATTAAATCTCTCTTTGAAATTCATGTGTACATTGACTCAGATACTTGTAGAGTTCTACACCCTAATACCCAAGTACAGTCCGATCATCCCACTTTGTCTTTTCACCCCATGAGCTAAGGAAATACTACACATATTTAGAGGCAGGATACTGCAGACAAAGGCAGTTGACAACTTTACCAGAAATCACATAGATAAGCCAATAACCGAATGGGAAACTCTACCCTCACCCAAGTTTTCATGGAAGTTTCCGATAACTGCCTACTATGGGTCAGAATAAAAGCAAGCAGTTTCCAAAAAAATATGCTGCCTCTCAAAATATATCCTAATAATAATACTAAAAAAACCTTAAAGGTCTTGGAATGTTTTTAATTTAATTACCTTAACATTCCCCTGTGCTCTTCATGCCAGTTCTGTATTCTTTCTTCCCACTGTTCTTTTGTCAGTTTGTGCTGTTCTAACACACTGGGAATAGAAGTTGTTGCCATTAAATGACACTGACAACCAGTTTAACCTCTTAAAGTTATAAAAATAAGTTTGGTTAGGCAGCATAACATATGCTTTAATTGATTAAATGTAAACATGACTTCTTATACACTGCTCAGCTTTTTAACCCAAACAAACATAGAAACTTTGTAGTTCAACAAACAATTTTAAAATAGCATGAAATAAGTTCTTTTTCCATGGTATTCTTTACTCTTTGTAAAATAAAAGTCACACCATAGCGTATCTCGATTTTCAGTAAGGTCATAAAATGTAATGTTTGGAACACCTGAAAATGCAGACCTGTAAAATTCTCATATGACAATGCTGCAAATTTATCTCTAGGTATGCACAGATACACTCAAGCTTTCATTCTGCTGTTGTTCAAAAGAAAAAGTAACACATTAAGACAAGTTAGTAGACTAGTTTGTTAGAGGTTTTAGGGTTTTTTAAAAAAATAAATAAAATCAATAGTGAAGCAGTTTCAGAAAACTATTTGAGGTTTATCAACAGCAGGCTGCAATGATGGAATTGTATTTTGACCCACTAGAACTTTCAATGTAGTACTGCAGTAAGAAATCAATGCATATAACTTTATTATGCTTTTATTCCATGCAGCTAGCATTTTAATCATTCCTAGAGAAATTATTTTAAAGGACAATTTGAAAAGAAAAAAAGAGAGAAACTGCAAGATAATCTTACTAAAGAAGTCAGAACAGTTGTTTTCCTTCCTTCCTCTTTACTCAGGAAAGTAAGGATTTACTG